CCACAACCATGACTACAATCACCACATCCATCATAACGACAACCACTACTTCCCCTAGTGCCTCCCACCACATCCTCCTCAACCACCACTGACCATCATCACCGCCTATCACATCATAACCCCCCACATCCATCACAACCACCATCTACACTTCTACTGCTGTCGATCGCTATAACCACCACCTCTTCCTCCTACGACAACTGATTCTTCAGGACATTCACACTGAATGAAACATTGTTTTTTTCTTTGTACGAAAAGGGTTCATTCGAATTAACGTCAATAATATCAAAATTTTCATTTAAATTTCGTACTATATATATGAAAATTTTGTAACAATGTTTATAAATTTATTAATTTAAATATTACTTATTTTGTGTTATTTGTGATTGTTATCACATGCATATAAACATTAAACAAGATTTAGGGGTAATATGGTAAATTTAACTGTTTTGTCTTGAGTCTAACTCACCAAACATTATACAAACAACTTGTAAAGTCTTGTCTTATTCACACCAAATGTATACATATGAATCGCTACCTAACAAATCCTATTAACTTACACCGTTCAAGTTCTCATTGCCACGATGAACCGACATTAAACAAACTCATGATAAAGACACCCTCCCAGACATTAGGTTTTTTAATTACTATACTAAAATTGGTTTCTTAGGATGCTACAACCATGCATTCCCATAAAATACTTCATAGGGCTTAAAATTTATAGGATCTACAATTGTGTAGAGTTGACCATTTGCAGGTTTGGACCAGACTTGGGTCGGACTTAATCTATTTTTTTGTCTAACGGGCCTATTGTGGTAAGACCAATCCCTTTTTTACAGGTTTGAAAACTTACCCATACCCGCCATATAAACGGGCCAGACTTGCCCACGGGCTAACGAACTTAAAAATCATGTTATATTTTTATAAAAACAAAACTTATATAAAATCACAAGTTATGTAAAATAATTCAAAGTACATAACAACTTTTCCAACTTCAAATTTGATGCAAATACACAACAATATACATACTTTAGAAAGAAATTATTTCGTTAAATGTGAAATATCAATAAAGAAAATGACTAAAATATATTTAAAATATAAAAATCTAAAATATATTTAGGATAAACATCTCATTTTAAAATATAAAAAAATTAAAATATATTTAG